TGCAGACATACCTGTACATGTCAAGTTGTGTCAGGTATTATGGGAAAAAGACCTAGAAGTCTTGTCCATGGGGATAAAAAGCATGTAAGACCCATCTGGGGAGCTTCAGCTTGGAGAGGCATGTGGAGAAATTTACGCTCTGCAGTAACATGACCACTACCTACAGAAGGCTATGCCACTGCTGTATGGGCATCACCTATAAAAAACATTTGATGTGTGCTAGACCCCCATTAAACTACTGAGGATGACAATTCTCTCACAAAGATGAATTTATTGGGCATGGAGACAAAAGAATCGGGCAAACAAAGAGAGAAGATAATGGTCCAAGAATTTGTGATATCCATCTAAGTTTCTTACAGTAGTATCTGAAAGAGAATTTCTAATATATCATACTTACCATGAGAGAAGGCTCAGTTGTACTGCAGGTGTTCCTCAACTCACCCTCTCCCTTCCTGAAGAGTGTTTTGTATTGTTTGGCACATCAGACTGTTAATGAATAGCGAAAATCGGTACACCCACAAAAATACAATAACAATTATTAACACCCTCAACGCAAAAAAGTCACACTTTCTCCCCCAAAAGTCCAAAGTCAAATATAACCTTCTCTGCGTCTGTGAAATCCTTAAATATTAATCAAAATTCATACTCCCAATTGATCCACCTCCATGGAATCACTCCTTCAGTATCCCCGTGTGCCTCAAAAAAACAAGAAACTATACATAGAGCGTTATCCCTATTTCATAAACATCAAATAAACTAAATTCTCAGTGTATATTGTGTTCAAAAAAAGTAAAACATTCCATCCAGTGTCCACTTCTATGTGGCTAGATAAAATACTCTTACCCTATATATACTTGTACATAACTTCAAATCTCATTCCATGAATGAGATCCACGAAACCTGATCCTCCAAATACGTCCTTCCGTTCGTAAAGAGTACCTCCGGAGAGAACGTATAATGGTGTTGTATCCTTAAACATATAATAATGTGTGCTCCCCTCTTCAACACCATGAGTGCAACATGAATCCACTCGCCACCACCCTCCAAACCATGCACCCTAACTGGACTATACTATCCACTAAGATAGATTAAAAGTGGCTCCCCTTGTCCAGCGCTTCTCCAGCTTCCAATCTCATTAGGTCATCATAACATGGGTCAAGAACAAAGGCCACATAGTATAATATGTATTATTAATGGGTCTATTTATTAAAAATGTGCTTACAGATAAAACTCATTAAAAACACATATATCCTTAGTAGACACTCAATGACAGTATACTGAATGCTGTCATTGTTTTTACCTATATCTTTACCTATATTGTACATTGTCTTTACCTATATTGTACATTCAACATCAGTCCCTAACCCTCAAGGGGCGTACAATCTAAGTTCCCTAACTCCCATTTATACATACACATACTAGGGACAATTTAGACAGGGTCCAATTAACCTACCAGCATGTCTTTGGAGTGTGGGAAGAAACCCACGCAGGCACAGGGAGAACATGCAAACTCCAGGCAGGTGGTGCCATGGTTGGGATTTGAGCCAATGACCCTGGTGCTGCCAGGCGGAAGTGCTAACCATTTGGCCACTGTGCTAACCCGCTACAAATCTAAGATTAAATACAATCTCTATGTGTCTAGGTCTTTTGTAGCAAATTGTGTTTATTTAATAAAGCTGTGGCTTGCCATTTCAACACCAATACCTTTGGTGCCGTTATTTGGGCAAGGGCCTACCTTTGGAAGGGAATGTTTTCTTTTGCATACAGTATGCTTTTATGGTTTTCTGCTTACGAACTAGAATCACTAAAAAATGATTTTAGCACCTTGTTGTCACAAATCATTTGGGCTGTTCTAGAGAAAAAAAAGAGGTCCTGTCCAATATTAGATAGATGTATGTAATAAGCTGGCCCTGGAATGCATGTTATAACAATAGGTTTCCTTTAAGACTTCCCATGTAATGTTGAGCAGTGTTCAGTAGACTATGTGTTTATAGGGGCAGGCAGGGGCAGCAATTTTTGTTTATACTGACACTGGTGTGAATAGGAGGCATCAAGCTGTGAGTGCACCGTTTATGTTTTTACTTTTCATGGTATTATATTAGATTGAAAGAACGGTCCTCTTTTATCCTGCAGTCGCCATGTAATTTGTCCCGTCTTTTCTTCTGACTGGACCTTTAGCCTTCCTGAGGTTTCTGCTCACCTACTTGTCAAGCCCGATTGCCTCAAAACACAGCCAGGGGCCCTCGTGGGTTTCCCAAGTCTGTGTTTTACTGCAGTTTGCAAGAGCTGTCTGAAAGTGGAATTCTCTAGGCAAATATAAATGGAACATCCTTGTACATTCATTACATTCATCACATATCATATATGTATTTTAAAATAGTGATGTATAGCTGCATTAATTCAACCTTTATATTGGGTTCCAATCGGCTGCACACCAGAAATAAGAAAAAAGAAGATTATGCAATGTAAAGAATGTGAGGAGCTGCCTGATTCATGGAGATATAAAAAGATTGAACTCACTAGTGTATTGCTGATTCTTCGATATTCAATTACAGGCTAGGGTAGCTCTTGACCAAGGTGTATTTCTATATTTAATCAAGAAAAGCAAAGGATAAGTGAGCGCTTATGTGAAATGTATAATAAGCAGCGGCTGTACACCAGAAAAGCACCGTATCAAACCTTCAATAACATATATGTGAAAAGGGAGGGAGGTGCAGCGCTATATAACTAGGCAAAATAATGAATAAAAACACCGATAATACACAATAATAAACGGTGACTGTAAGTTAGTGACGCCACTGAATGGTGGCTATGAGGTGAGGAGAGTGAAACAGTCCAATGAAGGAGTGCTCTTAAGATCCAGGATGATCTTCAGACGTCCAATGTAAAGGACCGTCAGGTGATAAAATATAAAGACTGCGCACTCACCAGATACGCAATCTTTATGCGCATTTGTGTGAAATATCACTGGACCTCCTGTGTCATCATCCTGGTCTGGTCAGATCTGGTCAGCATATGGCCCCTCATGGCCTGGTACCCGGATGAATGCAGCTTTTCTGTAGATTTGGCCGGTTCCCACCAGAATGCAACCACCGCTTTCCCTAGCTACCCACTAGGTAGCCTGCTGCTATACCTAGTTGCTAGTACTTGAAGGCTAGCCACACAGGCTTTGGTCTCTCTGCACACAGATAACAGGTCAGCTCCCCAGACAGTTCAGGCACAGATCTGGTTCCAGGGTCTGGAACCAGATCTGTGCCTGAACTGTCTGGGGAGCTGACCTGTTATCTGTGTGCAGAGAGACCAAAGCCTGTGTGGCTAGCCTTCAAGTACTAGCAACTAGGTATAGCAGCAGGCTGTACCTAGTGGGTAGCTAGGGAAAGCTGGTGTTGCATTCTGGTGGGAACCGGCCAAATCTACAGAAAAGCTGCATTCACGGGTACCAGGCCATGAGGGATATGCTGACCAGATCTGACCAGACCAGGATGATGACACAGGAGGTCCTGATATTCACACAAATGCGTATAAAGATTGCGTATCTGGTGAGTGCGCAGTCTTTATATTTTATCACCTGACGGTCCTTTACATTGGACGTCTGAAGATCATCCTGGATCTTAAGAGCACTCCTTCATTGGACTGTTTCACTCTCCTCACCTCATAGCCACCATTCAGTGGCGTCACTAACTTACAGTCACCGTTTATTATTGTGTATTATCGGTGTTTTATTCATTATATTTGTCTAGTTATATAGCGCTGCACCTCCCTCCCTTTTCACATATATGTATTTTATTTGCAGTAGAGAAAGGTGAGGTCAGGTCCTATCTAAGCTGTCAGATAGGTTTATCTGGCTTTATCACACTGCAAAAAGCTGTGGCAATAGGCTTGTTTGTAGGCACTGGGCTCTTCCTTGCCTCAAATGATAGCAAAATTGTTCATTCCCCTTTTAACAGGAAGCATGTATGTAGGTGGGGCCTATATTAGGTACCTTGTTTGGGAGGAATCACTCTTTTGTGTAATGCCACCCTTGGCTAGGGCCCACTAAATTAAAGTGTCACTAAACCCAGGACCCTGCATTCACTATATCTGGTCTCACAGGTCCCTCCATTCACTATATTTGGTTTCCCTGGACCCTGCATTCACTATATCTGGTCTCCCAGGACCCTGCATTCACTATATCTGGTCTCCCTGGACCCTGCATTCACTATATCTGGTCTCCCAGGACCCTGCATTCACTATATCTGGTCTCCCTGGACCCTGCATTTACTGTATCTGGTCTCCCAGGACTGCCCTCATTCACTATATCTGGTCTCCCTGGACCCTGCATTCACTATATCTGGTCTCCCTGGACCCCACATTCACTATATCTGGTCTCACAGTTCCCTCCATTCACTATATCTGGTCTCCCCAGACCCTGCATTCACTATATTTGGTCTTCCAGGACCCTGCATTCACTATATCTGGTCTCCCCGGACCCTGCATTCACTATATCTGGTCTCCCAGACCCTCCATTCACATTCACTTTATTTGGTCTCCCAGGACCCTGCATTAACTTTATCTGGTCTCCCCGGACCCTGCATTCACTATATCTGGTCTCCCAGAAGCATTCACTATATCTGGTCTCCCCGGACCCTGCATTCACTATATCTGGTCTCCTTGGACCCCTGCATTCACCCTGGTCTCCCTGGACCCTGCATTCACTATATTGGTCTCACAGTTCCCTCCATTCACTATATCTGGTCTCCCTGGACCCTCCATTCACTATATATCTGGTCTCCCCGGACCCTGCATCACTATGCTGTGAGTTTTCATTCTCCCAAGATCCTGTATTCACTATATCTGACCTCTCCCTGCAAGGACCCTGCATTCACTATATCTGGTTTCCCAAAACCCTGCATTGCATTATATCTGGTCTGCCCCCTGGCCCTGCATTCACTATATCTGGTTTCCCACAGTACACAGAACATGAAATGCAATTATTTTATTAAATATAAACTGCTAAATACCTTTTCTCATCAGCAGTTAGAGCAGTCTTGTGACTTCTGTCAGTGTCCACCGAGCACTGAGTAAAGATTGTAGGAGGAGTTTTCATTTTGCTCCAGAAGGATGCAGAACCCCTGACCTCTGTATGGACAGTGCTGATTGGCCCTGTGCTGATCACATGCAATCTCCCAAGGAAAAAAAAAAAAACCTTGCTAGCAATACACACCAAACTGAGCATGTGCAGAGTGACTCCACATGATATGTCTTATCAGGAGATAAAAGGGGGACACTGGAAGAAGGGGAGCATTGGAGAAGACAGGATCATTTTACACAATGCAGCGGATTAACCCCTTAGGTTCCATAGTGAGTATAACAAGCATGCTTTACTGCATATATATAGACTGATTTACTGTTGTAGGTTTGGTAACACTTTAAAGTCCCAGGTTCTATTCCAGCCAGGGCAGCATCCAGGCAAACAGCAACTTCACACATTGATTCCGTAAACACAGTCCATAGGGGTTGCCTTTTTCACATTTTATTGTAGCATTAACTTGGAAGGGTTTAGGGAGCTGTTGAATACTTCACATTAATAACTGGAACAATGAGGACACTCTTCCTTGTAGCAGCTGCTGAACAGTCCCTTAATCAGTGAGACATTAAGTGGACAGCACTGAGGCACCTATAACACTGTCCCAGGCCAGGCAAGCCTTAAACTTTGAGCAGCAGGGATGGTAACAGCAAACAGTTACTGAAATTTCTCTCCCCTATAGGTCCATACTCAGTGTCCTTCCAGCTTGAAAATAATTCTCTCTGATTCCAGTAGACACAAGATTCTTGTGTACTTCAAAGGCAGGTCTTTCCTGGTGCCCCTCTTGGTTCCTGAAAGGGTTTTGTGGGTGAGCAGACCCTGTCAGCAATGGCTGGGATCCTGATGAGCAGGGTGGCCCTTCAGCAATACAGCCATGAAGGCAGTCAGCCCTTTCTGACTGGGATCCTCTCCTCCTGGACAGGAAGCCTAGGCCCTAGACTCCAGACTATTTATACATTCCCCAACCACCATATGGACACGCCTCTCCAGGGATTGGCTGGGGTAACATACATATTCAGGCTGCCTTTCTAGACCATCCACCCACTAGGTTCTGGAAAACCCCAGAAAACAGGGGGAGGGAGTCAGACTAGCAGCCTGCAGAGCCCAGAGCAGCTTAATGCAATCACACAACATACAGGTCTGCTGGTTGCATGAGAGCAAAACTAAATTTGCCTAACCAAAAAACACCTAGCAGCCTGGAAGAAGGGTGATATACACGCAATGTATACTGCACCAATATCTTTGAATATTATATCTTGAATGCATTTGGTGGAAGTAATAGACAAGCTATTCTTTACACTGGTATACAGTAAAACAAAGGAAATTCAATCTCAGTAATTATCAGGTGTGTTACTGGAGGATGGTTTCAGTTAATGGGTTGGATTCCCTTACTGGAATGTACATAGTACAGCCGGTTTCTCTCCTCGGTATAGATTACTGATGTATATGTAATGAAGAAGGAGCCTGCACTGAGTTCTCTCTTGTCACCTGTAACCTGTCCCTGAGCTATATTTTTGGGGTAAGAATAACCCAAAACATTGTATATTACTTAGTCTGAATGAATGTATAGAGTCTACAAACTATGGTATATATATCTGAAAATTGATCAGTTGAGACCCTAAAATGCCAGACGTTGGTATAATGCATGGCAGTGATCAGGACATTGGCATGTCCCGTATGGTGGTGATCAGGACATTGGCATGAGGTATGGTGGTTTCCCTCACAAGCAGGTTCCTGTACCTGACCATTCAATCACCAGAAGTGTGCCAAAATGGTGTGGGTCCCATTATTTTAAAAGGATCCCTCACCCAAGATGGCCTCCAAAACCTCTTCAAGGTTTTGTGTCCAAACAGACTGCTTTCCTTTCTCAGGGCACTGAACAGAATCTCTAATCTCACTAATTCCTTTACGAGCTTCCCCTTCCTCTACAACAATGGCAATACAGGTGGGAAGGCTGGCTGCACCTGCAAGAGACAAATACACAAGCTGCCATTGCTGGCCTCTACTTCTGAATATGGCTAGTTACCTGGAAGTCCTGCTTTTCCAGCAGCTTCAGTACGATTCGTACGATCTCACCGACCTGAAATAAATATGCCAATTACAGTTCTGACATCACATTGACTTTGCTTGCTGCATTCTCATTGCAGGTTGGTTATTGTCATTTAACAACTTCAGGCCTGGACACTTTCACCCCCTTCCTGCCCAGGCCAATTTTCAGCTTTCAGTGCTGTCACACTTTGAATGACAATTGCGCAGACATGCAACACTGTACCAAAAAGACAATTTTATAATGTTTTTCCACACAATTAGAGCTTTCTTTTGGTGGTATTTAATCATCATTGGGTTTTTTATTTTTTGCTATATAAATGAAAAAAAACAATTTTTTTGGCTTAGTTTTGTTATAAAAATTTGTAAATATTCTTTCTTCATACATTTAGGCCAAATGTATTCTGCTATAGTCTACAAACTATGGTATATATATATCTGAAAATTGATCAGACCCTAAAATGCCAGACGTTGGTATGATGCATGGCAGTGATCAGGACATTGGCATGAGGTATGGTGGTGGTCAGGACATTGGCATGAGGTATGGTGGTGGTCAGGACATTGGCATGAAGTAAGGTGGTGATCAGGACATTGGCTTGAGGTATGGGTGGTGATCAGTACATTGGCATGAAGTATGGTGGTGATCAGGACATTGGCATGAGGTATGGCGGTGATCAGGACATTGGCATGAGGTATGGCGGTGATCAGGACATTGGTATGAGGTATGGTGGTGATCAGAACGCTGGATGCTGGTATGGGTTATATCATTGATCAGGATGTTGGTATGCCGGTGATCAGGACATTGTTACAGTTTATGGCATTGATCCGGACACTGATATGACATATGGGGTGATCAGAACGCTGGTATAAAAAGGGGCAGCAACTTTCAAAAGTCAGCAGAACAGAATAAACATCTCCACAATAGCACATAGCTCAGCTTGAAACATAAAGCAGGCCGTCAAAAATCCAATTAAAACATTCCAGGATCTCCATACCCTGTTAATGAGCAACGTCATAAATGGCTACCTTAAACAGTACTTAGTAAAGGCTGGAAAGTCAGAAACTCTTAATATAGCCTATTACAATTCATCTGGAGGTATACACATCAATCAGACAAAGGTTAGTGACCTACTGTATACTGACATATAGATGAGCTGCCCAGAATAAAGTTTCATACTTTTATCATAATTAATGCTATGATGGCACTAGATTAATAACAAGTGTTCACACAAATTAAAAAGAGAATAACAATCAGTTTGATACCAAAACATGCATGTGCTTTAATGTACAGAAGGTGGATGGATGGTACACATTAATTCTTTTAAGCAACATATACATTCTATCTATATAATGTTTCATTTCATTCTATTCAATAATAGGTTGTTGGAATGAAAAAAGCATGCCATCTGGATATATAGATATCAGTCTAATACTTGGCAATAAGGGAAAATTAAAGAAATTAAAGAACCTTTGCCTCTTGAAATAAAGCTATTATATATCTGTTTTATTCCTATCTGGCGTGGCAGCAAGTTTCACAAACATTTCTTAAGGGTCAGGGAATTGCTATAGCAGATATGGTAGTTGTGTGTGTTTCTGTTAAAACATGTGATGGCTACCATTTTGTTTGTAAAGGGTTCACTTTGTTAACCGACCCCAGTAGGATCACTCTTAGTTTTGCTAGCTCTTTGTCAGGAAAGGACTCGCCAATAGTGGTGGGACTCACCTGCCTTGTGGGGTTTCAGTACCAGGACTGGCCAGCGGGTGCTCTCAACAACCAGAGGCTCACTCTGGCAATTAGCCACCACCTGGAGCTGATTGCAGGTGGTGTATTTAAGGGATGGCCAGACCTGCAGTCAGCGCCTTGTTGTACTGTTCGCTTGGCCCTGGTTTCCTGATCCTGTTACTTCTGTCCTGACTCTGCTTGAACTCTGCTTGTACTGACCTCGGCTAGTCCTGACCACTCTCCCGCCTGCTCCTGGTACTCCGTTTGCCCGTTTGCTACCGACCCGACCTGCCTGACTACTCTTGTATTGTATGTTTGTTATCTGTTGGAGGTTTGGTTTAGTTTGTTTGCACTGTGTTTATGTTTAATTTTGCACTGCGTTTGTATTGTTAGTCTTAATAAATTATATTATTTACTATATCTGAAGCCTGCATTTCCCTGTGTCAGTCCACACACTTCTGGTCATACCCGCATCCCTGACATTACAACAAGGCCATTCCTGACCAGAAGTGGCTGCTCAGGGAAGCCATCTTGGCTTGTTGCTGGGAAGGATGCATCCTGATGAGGTTGTGTATTTGTCGCTGCTGGTCTTTGTTGACAGAGAGTATGCTTATCAGACTCTGAAGGAGTATACCAGGGATCAACTGCTAGAATGTATACGGGTCGCTCATGTTCTAGTAGATCAGGGCACAGAGTTCTCTGAGGTGCAACCTTTGATTCAGGTTTGCGCAGAGTTGGCTTCATCTGGTACCCCTGAAAGCAGGAATGACTTTTTGCCACCATTTAGTGCAGACCAGGTAGAGTCCCTGGTATGGTTATTAGAGGATGATATGGATTGCTTCTTGGAGCATTATGCTGCATGTTCACAACAGGTATTAAGGGATTGTATAAACGCAGTGCAGTCTTTGACTAGACAGGCTTTGTGTAAGCTGAGCTTTGTTCAACCCATACTGCAGACATGGTCAGACTTGTTGCACCCAGCCTCAGTCAGCTTACAACGTCATTCCTTCCGCTCAAGGCACTCTTCCTGCATCCCCGACAGCACCCCCAGTGACGGCCCAGTATACTCTGCTAACTACCACATATCAGTCCCCTGCTCCCACTCGCTGCACCTATCCTGCCTTTAACCCTGTAAAGAAGTCCTCTGTAGCAACCTCTCCCTCCTCTGTTCCATCCTCCAGCTCTTCTCTGTCTTCAGCTGCTCCATCCGTTTACAAACCTGCGCTTACTTACAGTGCTCCGGTAACTAAAACCAGGAAAAGGCGAAAATTCTTTCCAACCAATACCATCCTGCCAGTATCCAAACCGGTCAGCCTGCCATCTGAGAACCCACCTTCCGTGGTGCAGCCTGGTGCCTCGGTGCCCACAATTCAGCCTGATGTCTCTACCCAGCCTGATGTCTCTACCCAGCCTGATGTCTCTACC